GTTGGATCCAGTGGTGGCCACTGGGATGGTTGATAGTGTTGTGGTAGCTGTGGGTGCTCGGTGACGCCACTGTCCCCCCCCAAACCCATCCGTGTCCCATCTGTTTCGCTGCGTTATTGGCTCTGGCCCAGCTTCCTGGCTGCGGGATCTCGCTGACGCCCGTAACAGGATCAGGCCAGGATTCGTGGGGATTACACAGGCAAAACCCTGGATTAGAGTGATGACGATGATGGATGAAATCCGGCCGCTTATCCCCAGCGAAACCCCTCACAGCTGGGGACCCCCCACCCCTCTTGGCTGCTGCCAGGATGGTCCCGGGGCCGCAGCCATGGTACCCAGCCAAGAGGACACTCCTGGTCATCACCACATCCCTCTACCCCGCTTGGCTCTCCCAGCCCCTGGGGTGTTCAAGGGACAAAGGGCAGCATCTCCCTTCACGTCCCAGTAACTTACTAGTTTTACTGGGTGGATGACTCTGTTCCTGATTGTCTCCACAGGTGATGTGTGAGGCGGTGACGGGCGAGGATGAGTCAGGTCAGTTTAGGGGACCAGCACCTCCAGGGGTGCTCCCAGGTCCTGGTGGGGGGCCTGTGTCCTGAGCTCCCTCCTGCATCCCCTCCAGTACCTCACAGTGCCCAAAAGCTGGGGAAAACTGGGGGTGTCACCCTCTGCCTGACCCTGCCACCCCCCTGTAGTGACCTGCGCCCTGGGTGGGGCCAGCGCTGTCGAGGTCCAGCTCCGGCACAAGCTCCCGCACTGGAGCAGCTACTGGAGTGACTGGAGCAGCTCTATCCTCATTCCTGAGGGTAAGGAAGAGGAGAGAGAGTGAGGGGTGTCCCAATGCCCCCCCCCCCAAAAAGCTGATAGCCCAACCAGGCCCGTTTCTCTCACAGAAATCCTGGCGAGCCCAGCACTGAGCCACCAACTGGGAAAACTGGGGAGAGATGGGCAGCGGGTGCTGAGACTGGGCTGGCAGGTACAGCACCCCCTGGGACGCCCTTGAGTACCCCCCCCGGGGACCTCTGTGGGTGTCCCCTCATAATTTAATCCCCACTTTCTCTCCCCACAGCGAACCCCCGTGGCGCAGGGCAATGTCACCTACACGCTGCTTGCCCGCATGACCACATGTCCCTGCACCGAGCCGGCCCAGGAGAACATTGCAGTACACGGCACGGAGG